CTTCTTCGAAATTCAATTCAAGCTCGGTCTTTGTTTTCCTCGAAGTCTTGGGCTACTCCAGATCTGCGAGTGGTTCAGGCTTCCCGTACACCAACTTCCTCCTAACGCCATTCGCTTCATGACCACCTTCATCATCCTTTGCCACGTCCGCCTCGGTCGATTTGACCTCGCCTTCTTCCACTACTGGTATGCCCCTTCCAAGCAAGGTCGAGGGCTTTACTTAAAGAGTCGCAACGGTGCTCATTTTATCAATGATGTTCCCTCCAATCTTCTCAAGTGGGTCAACAGGTTTATTTTTGTAAAACCTGATGCCCCTTTCCCTTGGCCTTCCGTCCCTTAGGTTAAGGAGGTTCTTCAGGAGGTTTCTACCCCTCCTCCAACCCCCCTCTTCGAGCAACGGGTCCATACTTGGAATGCCAAGTCCGTTGAGTCAGAGAAACTCCACGGGGACGAGAACCTGCTCCACTATTGTGGTCTTCTCGCCCATAAAACTCGTCCTCCTCCCACCGATGAGATCCTCAACCTCATTCGAATTGAGAATGATCCAGGTAATCCTCGACCAGATTACTCGAGTGCTTTTGCGTTTCTTTGTTTTTGTTCTGAGTAACCTTTGATGATGCCAAATGTAATCTTTTCATTGTTTCCTTGCAGAGGTGCCTAGCTTCGACATTCCCTCGAGGAAAATCCTCAAAAATGAAAAACAGAGGACACCTCGGGCTCGACTGGTGACAAAGTCGAGGGATTGGCTACCTCTTCCAAATCTTGACCGGAGCCACAACAAAGATCACCTCCACGAGAGACTCCGTTGCCTCCACCCCCACCACCGAAACAACAACAGCAAGAACAATAACAACAGCAACAACAGCAACAACAACCTCAACTACGACCGCCGCAACAGAAACAACAACCACCTCCGCTTAAGTAAACACATCGATCGACCTCCAGCTCCACCGCCCAGAAGTCTTCGACCTCCTCCAAAACCAATAACAACCAATCCTCTGCTCACAAAACTGATTCTCGAACCAACACATCCAAAGATGTCGCTCCTCCCAAAACAAGAGATAAGACCCCTGAGCCCTCATCCACGACCAAAACTTCTGAGCCCTCTTCCAAAACCAAAACTCCTGAGCCTTCCTCCAAAACCAAAACTCAAGAGAAACCTCCTCTCGACCGACAGTCTTCCCGGAATCCTTCCGATGGCTCGACCAAAGCTCTGGTCGAGTCCAGCGGTCAAGGTGATGCGGGGCGCGAGACGACCCTGGGGAAGCACCCTCGCACTGACCAAGGCGAAGTGGTCTGGAAACGAGGGCGTACTAGCCATTCTTGGCCTGACCCTCTGGCTCCAAAACCCACATCCTTATTGTCGGCCTCTGTGAATAAAGTGGTTGAGCGTCTTTAGGGTGCCCTCCTCGAGGACGGCCGCAAAAAGGCCAGTGCCACTTTGCCGGAAGTTGGCGACCAGCTCGTTCAATGGCTTGCCCAGGTATCATTTGTCTTGTATTTGTGTCGATTCTTTTCTGTCATTCTTTTTTGACACATGGATTGAGCAGTTTTACCCTCTTTGATCATAGGGCCTGGTTCAATTTTGCCTTTAGCTAAAGAGGCTCGAGACAGCTCTGGGAAGTCCATAAAGGGCCTCGAGGGCAGCATTGGCTTTCTGCAGGACAAAAACTCAACTCTCTTGCAGCACAATGCCAAGATCCGCGAGACACAGACAGAGCAGAAGACCGAGTTCGAAGTCAAGATTAATTCCCTTGATGAAGAGCTCGTTAACAAGGGCAAGGCTCTCTCGGAGAGAGATGCTGCTCTCGCGGTGAATGAGGCAGTAGTGGCGGAGAGGGAGGCCCTGCTGAAGGAGAAGGAAACAACGCTCGAGTAGGAACGGGCTGCTCAAGCTGAGGCGGAAAACGCTCGTGCTGAACTGGAGGCCACCCTGACCAAAGAAAGGGCTGTCCATGCCGAGGAAAAACAACGCTATGCGAATGCCACTGCACTTCGAGCATGGCAGATGCTTTGGGCGACAACAACCGGGCAGCTCTTTCTCCGTGAGCATCACGCACAAGTGGTGGCTGACTTCATGCAGTCACCATAATTTCTAAAGGAGGTTCAAGATTTCGGGGTGGACGACTTCCAGTTTGCCCTATAGAAGGCCGGTGAGCAGATCGCCGAGGATGACTTCGAGCAGCTCGACCCCGGGGTTATTTGGGATGCCTTACCGAAGGTTTCCTGTGGCTTCCGTGGGGATCCTACTCTGCCACTTGAGCATGAGTTGTGGTCGGGGCAACTCGAAAGAACCTTAGGTCGATCGGATATCTTGAAGAAGACCTTTGCTCTGCCTGATGACGCTACCCCTCCAGCTGCCATGTTGGTCGCAATGGCTGAATCTATCCGACGACGTCCACTCAATGAGGCCTGCGATTCGACCTCTAGCACTAGCCATCAGCCCGATCCTAATACCAACTCGAGCAACGCCGACTCGACCGCAGTCCCTCCTTCGTAGATTAGCTTTGTACTTTTTGATTTATTTCTTTTGAGTTTAAACTATGCACTTTGACGATCTTTCATGATCTTTTGGAATGTAAATGTTTTGCTTTATTTTTCTTTGTTGTCGATAATCTTTTGAATGAGCTAACTTGCTATTCTTGCATGCCTCTTCAACGGTTCTTCTTATTTACTATGCTGATGTGTTCGCTTTGTACTCGATAGACTACCCAGAATTTTGCTATAACATGCACCACACATATATTGCACCATGCACATAAAACATTTAACACATGCCAACCTTCAGAGGCGGTCGAAACACGCGACCATCCAGCTTCGCGGCCTTAAACATGATGGGTTTAAAAATCTTTTAACACATGCCACACCTCCAGAGGTGGTCGAAACACGCGACCATCAGCCTCGCGGCCTTAAACCTGATGGGTTTTAAAATCTTTTAACTCATGCCTCACCTTCAGAGGTGGTCGAAGCACGCGACCATCCAGCCTCGCGGCCTTAAACATGATGGGTTTTAAAATTTTTTAACACATGCCCCACCTTAAGAGGTGGTCGAAGCACGCGACCATCCAGCCTCGCGGCCTTAAACATGATGGGTTTTAAAATCTTTTAACACATGCCCCACCTTCAGAGGTGGTCGAAGCACGCGACCATCCAGCCTCGCGGCCTTGAACATGATGGGTTTTAAAATTTTATAACACATGCCCCACCTTAAGAGGTGGTCGAAGCACGCGACCATCCAGCCTCGTGGCCTTAAACATGATGGGTTTTGTTTTAACACATGCCCCACCTTCATAGATGGTCGAAGCACGCGACCATCCAACCTCGCGGCCTTAAACATGATGGGTTTTAAAATCTTTTAACACATGCCCCACCTTCAGAGGTGGTCGAAGCATGCGACCATCCAGCCTCGCAGCCTTAAACATGATGAGTTTTAAAATCTTTTAACACATGCTCCACC